GATTTTTTAAATTTAAAACCAAGTTGGGATCTAATCGTCTTCATAGGTTAATTATTTAATTTGTATTGTAAGGGTTAATTTCACCCTGTTTTACGGGTCGGAAGGGATTTTCGCTAACAGTGTATTTTGGTGAGTGTATTTATGATTTTTTAAATTTAAAACGAAGTTGGGATCTAATCGTCTTCATAGGGTAATTATTTATTTTAATGTTGAAGGGGTAATTTCACCCTGTTTGACGGGTTGGAAGGGATTTTTGCTAACAGTGTATTTTGGTAAGTGTATTTATGATTTTTTAAATTTAAAACGAAGTTGAGATCTAATCGTCTTCATAGGGTAATTATTTATTTTAATGTTGAAGGGTTAATTTCACCCTGTTTGACGGGTCGGAAGGGATTTTTGCTAACAGTGTACTTTGGTGAGTGTATTTAAGATTTTTTTAAATTTATAACTAAGTTGGGATTTAATCGTCTTCATAGGGTAAATATTTATTTTAATGTTGAAGGGTTAATTTCACCCTGTTTGACGGGTCGGAAGGGATTTTCGCTAACAGTGTATTTTGGTGAGTGTATTTATGATTTTTTAAATTTAAAACGAAGTTGGGATCTAATCGTCTTGATAGGGTAATTATTTATTTTAATGTTGAAGGGTTAATTTCACCCTGTTTGACGGGTTTGAAGGGATTTTGGCTAACAGTGTACTTTGGTGAGTGTATTTATGATTTTTTAAATTTAAAAGCAAGTTGGGATCTAATCGTCTTCATAGGGTAATTATTTATTTTGAAGTTTAAGGGTTAAATTCACCCTGTTTAATACACTTCACAGGATAATTATTTTATGAATTTAATGGGTTAATTTTACCCTGTTCTGTTTAATGGATCCGAAGAAATGTTTACCTATAGCGTATGTTAATGTATTTATTTTTTAAATATAAAATTAAATTGCGATCTGATTTCCTTCGTCGGATAAATAGTTTTATCAATTTTAAGGGTTATTTTCAACAGTATATTAATTTTTTTGTCAATATTAATGTGTAAAATACATATTGACAAGATTATTTAAATAGTTGTATGCTAGATGCCACTGTTTTCGCGATCGGGTGTTGTCGGTTATTTTTACTGCTAAAAGTTACTGCTAACTTCACACCGGTAGTTGTCAGTGGTATTTTTGATTTAACAAAACTTATTCGTATTCAGCCATTTTTATATTTAAAATTTCATTCAAATAGGTCGTCTTTCATTTTTTTAATATTGCTATTTTTTCAGATATTCCCAAAATGCGAACACCTTCGAATTATCATGTATGCCAATTCAGCATTTGGTATATGGCCGTTTATTTTCGAAGACTATCCAATTCTCAAAAAGATATACGACTTTTACTGCAAATTCACCCTCACTTATTACGCCTGCTTTATCACTTCAGGTTGGATCAGGCTTATCCAACTCTTTTTGGAATATCCACTAAATTTTACAGAAATTATGTTGAATATTTCTATAACATTCATTTATAGGTAAGTTATAATCATACTCGTACATTAAAAAATAGGTTTAAAAAGTTAATTCGAACAGAAAGTAAATAAAAAAAATGGTAATCACCTCTTACATTAATTTATTTAAAGAACAAGAAGGAGTGCGTTCTCAAAATTGTAATAAAATTTTATAACCAAATCATATGATACGAAAAGATATTATTTCTCTTTCGGCACAACAAAGGGGCTCGTATAAAAACAGGTTTAAACGGCAACCCAGGGACGGGCCTAATTAGTTGTACTTAAAGTGGAAATATACGTATTATTCGCATAAAATCCTTCTTCGATTATTTAATAAATATCACTAAATTTAGTTTTAAAGGCAACAGATACGAAATTGATCCGAAATAAATATTCAAGACTTGTAATCAAAATCTCCATGAAACTATATTATTTCATCTACTATTTTATTTACTTGAAATATTTAAATATTACATTGAATATTAAAAATCAATGTAAGATGTTACGAAAAAAGCTTGAACAACTGTTATTTGTCAACTCTTATTATAATAAAATTAAAATACTGTAATTTTGTTATCAGTTTGAATTTAATTTTTAAAGTTATTGAAGCATGCGAGCTTTCTCAACACGTCTCAACACGTTCCTAGTGAAGGAAAACAAGAAAAATACCATGTTCCTTTCCAAAATAACGTAAAACAACAGCGTAGTTACGTTTTTGTAACGTAATATATATAAACAAAATGGAAAATCAAATCTTATCAGAACTATCATCTTCACTTGACGTGTCATTCAGATTTATGTTGCAAGAATGAGCTGGAAATATTGGTTGGTTATTTTCAATTTTGGTAACACGGAGAACGCAATTGCAGATATACCTCCAAATTCTCTGTATCATTGAACTGCTCTCCATGAATAAAACCCAGATGAAAACAATACCAAAACTCATGACTAGGGACGAGCCAGTAAAGGGACACCTGAATAAAATAGGCGTGTATAATGAAGACCTATATTATGTCGACTCTCTCACAAGGAACCAGAAACAGCCAAACACATACTGTGCAATTGCGAGGCATTGCATCGCAAAAGACAGGCACTTTTTGGACAACCCCAGGTTGATTCCAGAAACACACCCTCTCAAAGACTTGTACAATTTTGTACAAGGGACTAAGGTAACAGTGCTGTCGCAGGCAGTACACGTAATGTGCTACTGCAAAGGTCTATCAAGACTGATATTCCTTACACTTGGAGAAGAACAACCAAAGGCAATTAGCTACACCGGAGAACTACTTCCTAGTCTATGGAGTCTACTACTAGCACTAAGTATTAACTTGATGTTCCTCAATTTTAATTCTGGCAGTTGAGCAACCTATATCTTCGTTTGATATTCTTTCAAATAGAGGGATCTTGTCACATTAACACCATAAACCATATTATCTTCACTTGTCTTAATTTTAGCGGCCGCAAGTAGGTATGATTGTACTGCCATCTGAAATTTTCAAAATTGGTTGGCGGGACCATCAGGACCATCTGCGGTCAAAAAAACTACCGTACCGGAGAGACCGGAGGTTCGCGGCATTTTAGAGGGATTTTGCAGCGGTTTTTTCGTCATGATCATAATTATGTGTTATGAAGGTATCTATGATAATATGTTTAAACGTCAGGCAGAGGTAACAAAAAATAACTTTAAATGCGTCTAACACCCCTTTAGCAGTGGTCTAGCCATTTGACGATATGCATATCTCATCTGTAACCTTCAAAGAGGTGGTATATAAATTTGCAGCCGGAGGTGCAATCATTTTTTTAGCCGATATTTTTCACAACTATAGTTATCTGACGACTCCTTTGCAGGGTTCTAAACTAAATCTTTCCAGATGACACTTTCTGATGCTTCCGTCAATCACTTAACAAATTTTCAGCCGGAGGTACGATTTACCTCCTTGCGGCGGTTAGCTCTCAGTCTAGTATGGAGGCAATTATACTGCCGTAAGAAAAATTCTAGCAACTAATTACCTAGCTTTTATTCATTTAGTTACTGTATTTCTCCTTACGAAATAAAATATCAAGGAATCTTGTATTTTACTGGCAGTATACTTACAGTCTTTCTTCCTCCTACTATCTCTGTTTTTAAACTAGGAGGAGCGAATTGAAAAGACGCATTTACACAGGGAAAAGTAACTAGATTTGTTACTAAGAGCGAGTTTCGAAATATACTCGTGTTCAAAATTTATGAAATAATTATCTTTATCGGCCTTAGTCGGCGAACGGCCAATGAGCGGTTAAGAAACGAATAAATGTCATAGAAGTAATTTTTTAATTGGTCCCAGACAAATTTCACATTATTGTGATCTGAAATGTGTGTCTAAAACGAAATGTCACTGTCAAATTAAAGTCAATATGGTTGTTGATTGATGTCAAAAATACTTTTTTCTTGCTTTTGAAATCGACTTTTTGAGAATAACTATGATCTTTTCAAAATGGATATTAAATATTTAAGAAAATTGTTAATGGAATATCCAGATGTAGCCAGGTTAGTATAAAATATAAAGATCTGTTTACATTTTTAAGGATAATTTGTTATAGGTATAAAAAGTAAAAGTTAATCAGTGAATGACAAGTGGATCACACAGTAACTGGTATCTCTTCTATGAGTAATGTGGATATTATGGCTTATTTAGTGTTAACTCATGGTTAATACGCTAGAGGGCAAATAAAAGCATTCAAAAGTTTACAGGCCTATGAGTCAGAATTTGTTTTGAAAACTGGAACCAACATTTTCATAACACTACATGTCAACATATATTTTTTAAAGTGAACTATTCATACATACCTATGTATTAATTTTAAGTATTTTTAAAATATTTTTTGTGAAAGTAATGTTAACTCATTGTGCTAAATTAAGATTATCCCTAAAGTAGTAGATGTTGTTTTAAATGTTTTTGTAAATAGTTTTATTCTATTCTAATAAATAAAATTTGCTTAAATATTTAATTACATTTTAATCATTTTGGTTAGAAATTCATCAATTTTTAGTTTTAAAAAATCAATAATAAAATTATTTTTTTTCTAAAATACTTCGGAATTCATCTCTTCATGGTAATCTCCCATCTTTTTACCTTCAAAAACCAATAATGCATTTTCTACAAAACCTTCAGAATCAGCATGTAAAATAATAAGGTGTCTTCCCTTTCTTGTAAGGCTTTTCAGGAATTGTTACCTTTAATAGTACTCAGTGTAGAAGGATCCATAATTGTAGATTTTCAATACAATTGCTTACTGAAGAACTATTATTTACGAAATAAAGTAAAAAACTAAGTAATGGATGAGATATCAAACTATTAAATGTCAGAACTGTTAACAATATCAATTATTAGCTGATGTTCATGCTAAAAAGTAATGTGTGAAACTGACTGTAATCTGACCAATCAGAAGGCTACAGAATTGCCAACTTAAATTCAAATCGCTCCTCTTAGTTTAAAAACAGAGTACCTATAGTATCAAAATCTCTCTTAACAAGACCCTAACGGGGTTGTCAAGAACATGCCCAACCAAAAATGGAAAATGTAGTTAGAGAAGACGACGATGAACATCTGGAGAGAATATTTGAATCAGTCAAATCAAGTGCTATATAAATGTTCCTGTATAAGTCTTGTTTTGAATATAATTCACTAGTATTTTAACTAATAGAAGAAATCACGCATCCTGTAAGATCTCTTCCTCTTTTAGTGTGACCATTGTCAGAGCTAAACGGATGAGAAATCCTAGAATGATGAGAATAATCAAGAATATTATGGATTGGGAGAAAAAGATCATGGACAGTAAAGACGAAAAACTTATTGAAATTATTAAAAACTACGCTCGGCAAAACAAAATCGTCAGTCAAAGTTTAATTGTAACTATTATTATAGGTAAGTTTATTTCGAAAGTCATTTTGTAAAAGGCACAGCATCAATTTAATTGGAGAACATAGGGGAGATCTGGGTAAGATGACGATACTAAGAGTACAGTACAAACATGTTCATGACTTTGTGTAGCGTTAATCTTACCAAAAGTATAAAAATGCAATTTTCATCAACTCACCCCATGCCCGGGGTAAGTTGACGAACCTATTAGGGTAAGATGACTATGCACAAAAATCACAACAGAAACTGCCAAAACCCTCATAGCTGCTGCATGCTCCGTGCCACCATGACATACAATGAAAACATTGCAACCAAGTTTCAGATTGTGGGTCGCTATATTCTACATTACATGCAGGGCAAAAATATTGAATCTCATTACTGAGAGCTGCAATATCAGTAGCACTGAGATGATCAGAGCTGAGACCGATAGAACTGGGATCTGCAATATAAGCAGCACTGGGCAATGTTTTTCGACGTTTTTGTCCTCTATTTTCTCGAACTGTAGATTTCTTCTGTACTTTCAGTTGTTTCTTTTCTTGTTTTAATTTTTTTTTTGTTCTATTTTTCTTCAATCTCTCTTTGTTTTTTTTTTATTTGTAGCTTAATAGGAGTTCCACTTATATTAGAAGATAACAATTTTTTACAGGGTTTGAGGACCTTCCAGATATTGCAATTGGCCTAAGTTTTCAAATAGTAGGAAGAGGCTCATTTGAAATATATCTATCTGAAAACAGTTGACGTTTATGTGTCTCTATTTGACCTTTGGTTGAAGTTTTAAATGTTTCATTTGATGAGGTTTGTTCAGGTGTAGTAAAAAATTTAATTTTTTTGCCAACACACTTAGAGGTACTTGATCCTCTTCATCAGTTGACGATTGTTTTTAATTAACAACCTGGCATCGACATTATCACCATCACTTATCAAAAGGGAACCGTTTACTGCAGATTGTTCATCACGTTTAGTTGTTTTTGAAGGTATGAAATCACTATCATCAAAACCCAGAGGGTTAAAAGGCTCAATCATACAAGCTCTGAAGCCGTTTACAGCAATATTTACATTGGCTGCCCTGCAGTAAGCCTCCCCGAACGAAAGTCCTATATTTTTGTCGGTTATTGGAGTTTCTGGATAACTTATTAGAAACGAATTACACATTTGATTATAAAATGCCTTAAAAGGTCCAAAAAAACGAAACGTCTAATGGTTGTAATTGGTGGGTTGTGTGGGGAGGAAATTCTATAAGCACAATTCCATTTTATCGGCAGAAGTTGATTCCAGAAAGGGAAATATGGGAACTGTAATTATCAACCAGTAACAATACGGGATCTTCAACAGACAGTTTTGTGTAGTGCCCAAAGTATTTTAAGTAGACAAGAATAGTTTCCGCCGTCATCCAGCCTGAAGGTTGTGCTCTACCATCAGAACCAGGAAGACAACCATTTAACAACTCAGATTTCATTCTAACTTGGCCAATTATCAAAAATGGAGGTACGTATAACCCGACAGCATTGATTGTCTACACCAAAGTTGTATTTCGACATCTCTCAGCTGTCACTATTTTAGCAACTCGTCGTTGTCATGTTGGAGTGATGATTTTTGGTAGCTTCGTTGGCACAGTTGAAAGACCAGATTCATCTAAGTTGTAGATGCAGTCTGCTTTAAACTTGTATTTAGTCCTAACCTCTTTCAAAATTGTAAAACAGCGGTCCTATTAAATCCACGTAGCCGTGCAATTGAAGTCGCTTCAGGATTTCTTAGACTCAACTTGTTACGTGCACTAAAAGATTTGAACAAATCAAACCCGGCTGCTTCTGTTTCCCTGCTGAACCTGTTTTCTACATTATTCGCTTCAGCATATTGATATACGAGTTTCCGAACTTGCGAGGAAGTTCATCCAAGGCCTCGTTGGTTACATTCTGTTAGGTAGCTAACAAATTCTTTAGTTTGTTCAGCACTAAAGGTTTTCTTAAGACGACTTACATTCTCCGGAAACTCTTCACCCAGAGCATCTCTTATTAAGTATCTTCGTAACATAGGCTCAGGAATATCGAAGTTATTGCAGCTGCGTTACAACTTCGCGTACTTCCCTCATAGCTGCTGCAAGGGAGTCTTCACTTCACTCCCTACGATTGGTTTTGCGCTTTGTACAGTGTACACCCATGGCATTCTTTAAAAGAATACTGGCCTTATTATAATGCTTGCGTATATGGGGTAAGATGATGAACTCGTATGCTTACTTGGAGTAAGATGACGAGTTCGTCATCTTACCTCCGTCATTTTACCCCGTGTGTGAATTTATTAAATGTCGATGTAAAATGCAAACAAAAACAAAACTTCAACAATAGATGATTTTAACGGAAGACATCTTGAAGTTGTAAGGTCATTGGAAGATCTTTTCGCCATCTACAAGTTTACATAACAACTAATAAAATAAAAAAGAGAACTGTAAATTATTATTTTGGCAATCTGTTTAAGGTTACGACGTCGGTATTCATTTTTTACTTTTTTCTTTGTCTTCTTCATTAGTTGTATGTGCTCAGTTTTTCACTATCTCTTTCTACTTAGTGCCAGGTCCCAGAGTCTTAGTCATGTGCCATGTCAAAATTTGTAAAAACATAAAACGACCTAACGCGCGCTTAGCAAGCCATGTAGATCTAGATTCCAGATCTTGGCGATAGTGAGAGTGAAAACTGAGGCCATACAACTAAAGAAGAAAACAAGAAAAAAAAAATTATACTTAACGCCGCTGTAACTTTAGACACATTGCCAAAATAATAATTTACAGTTTTCTTTTCTATTTTAATAATTGTTATGTAAGCTTATAGATGGCGCAAAGATCTTCCAATGACCTTGCAACTTCAAGATGTCTTCCGTTGAAATCATCTATTTTACTACCGGCAATACCTATTGGTACCTATCAAAGAATTGTTGGTAACACATTGGATTTGTTTACTTACCTGAGAAAGGCACAAATCGTTAATAAAATTTAGAAAATATTACAAGCCATGCTATAAAAACCGTTGTCATTGTATAAAGAACTAAATAGTAGTCTCACCTTATGGAAGTTTCATTGGAGCGAAATGGATACTACCAATAGATGGCGCTAGTGAATATGGATAAGTCGATATTCGTTTGCATTGGGCGGAGTTGAGGGTCCAGCAGAAATTTTTAAGAATGACTGAGACCGATCGATAAATTTCTATTTTTAGCTCTTGCATGAAATTTTATACACTCGTGATTGAATGTTTGGACTATTTTCTATCTAATGTTTGTTATTGTGCGTTTGCGGGTAGTAGGTATTGTGAATGAGTTGTGTTTATGTTTTATTACTGAATTATTTTACTGTTAATAAAGGAAGAGTTCCCAAAAAAAAATTGTGTAGGTATTTATAACGGTTTTGAAATTAATAAAATAGAAAATATGCTTTTGTTTTTCGTTTCCTTTACAGGTTTTATCCGAATTAATTTAAAATAAATTATATAATAATAATAATAGCAATAATAATACATTTTTTAAGTGTTGAAAAAATTGTATTTTTAATTTAAATACCTAAGTACTTAGCATAAGTAATTATAAACAAACGGTTATTTCTTTAATCTGGTGCGTAACAATGTAATAAAAAAAAACCATTAAGATGGTTGGTAAATAATATAAATGAATTCTTAATATTGAAGGGGTATGTCTAATTTGCGGATTGGAATTTGACCGCTGCCAGGTACTAAACAAGTAATAGTTAGGAGTTAATATTTCTGACAAGTAATATATATTCCAATACCTTTTTGCCAGGTGAAACCATTTTCGCCCCCATCGCCTCCAAGGGGTACTTTATTCTTGTCAATTTTGACAAAATTAGTGCCAGGTACCAGAAAAAACGCGGTAAATTGCTGTAACTTCGTACACATAATACATAACCCAATACCTTTTTGCCAGGTGAAACCATTTTCCCCCCATTGCCTCCAAGGGGTACTTTACTCTTGTCAATTTTGACAAAATTAGTGCCAGGTACTACAAAAAACACGCTACATTGCTTAAACTTCGTACACATAATTCCTATCCCAATACCTTAATACCTTTTGCCAGTTGGAACAATTTTCCCCCCCATTGCCTCCAAGGGGTACTTTACTCTTGTCAATTTTGACAAAATTGGTGCCAGGTACTAGAAAAAAACACGCTTAATTGCTTAAGCCTTGTACACATAATTCCTATCCCAATACCTTTTTGCCAGGTGAAACCATTTTTCCCCCCATCGGCTCCAGGGGGTACTTTACTCTTGTCAATTTTGACAAAATTAGTGCCAGGTACTACAAAAAACACGCTAGATTGCTTAAACTTCGTACACATAATTCCTATCTCAATACCTTTTTGCCAGGTGGAACAATTTTTCCCCCCATTGCCTCCAAGGGGTACTTTACTCTTGTCAATTTTGACAAAATTGGTGCCAGGTACTAGAAAAAAACACGCTTAATTGCTTAAACCTTGTACACATAATTCCTTTTCCAATACCTTTTTGTCAGGTGAAACCATTTTTCCCCCCATCGGCTCCAGGGGGTACTTTACTCTTGTCAATTTTGACAAAATAAGTGCCAGGTACTACAAAAAACACGCTAGATTGCCTAAACTTCGTACACATAATTCCTATCCCAATACCTTTTTGCCAGGTGGAACAATTTCTCCCCCCATTGCCTCCAAGGGGTACTTTACTCTTGTCAATTTTGACAAAATGAGTGCCAGGTACTAGAAAAAACGCGGTAAATTGCTGTAACTTCGTACACACAATACATAACCCAATATTGGGATAGGAATTATGTGTACGAAGTTTAAGCAATCTAGCGTGTTTTTTGTAGTACCTGGCACTAATTTTGTCAAAATTGACAAGAGTAAAGTACCCCCTGGAGCCGAGGGGGAAAAATGGTTTTACCTGGCAAAAAGGTATTGGGATAGGAATTATGTGTACAAAGTTTAAGCAATTAAGCGTGTTTTTTTCTAGTACCTGGCACTAATTTTGTCAA